AAAAATGCAAAGATATAAAGTATAAAGTGCACGGTACGAGTATTTTCGCTGTGCAAAAAGTGGATGTGACATTGGAAAGTTGAAAAAGTTCTAAGTTCGCAACAAACCCTTCGAAGAATGGGCGGATTCGGCCATGTGTCTATGTGTTGAAAATTTATGTCCGCGCTGACAAGTAGGCGTGGCCGTCGGGGCGGGGCTCGCAGTGGTGTCTGGCGTGATCTGATCGGTGATGCCCGGTCTAAAAAGAGTGGTGAATTTGATTTGAAAAGTGGTAAATTCAAAGTGAAAATGGTACATACCTAAAAACTCTGAATCGATACGTATGCTTCCTTTGCCGTCGCTACGCTAGCGTACGCTGGCGACACTACAAGGGGAGCCAAAAAAAGTCACTTTTCCTCATTGACTTTCGAGGCGCTATAAGTTACAATTTGATGAAATATTATCGGACGTTTTTACCAACATATTAAAGAGCATATCAAATACTATCATGACACTTCGCCACAGCCTTCTGGACGAGCGCCATCGAGAGATTCTGGCACGCGACCGCGATGGGTGCCTGAGATCAGCGAGATAGTCGATTTCTCCTCCACCGTGGACCACCTTATTGAACTCCGCCCGTACCGGGTAATTGAGGAGATTCAGGTCAGGTGACCTACTTGGATATTCCATCTTCTTTAGGTACTCAGCCCCCTTCCATTCCAAGTGGGCGAGTGTTTCTCCAACGCCCTTCGATTTCATGTGGTGGCACTTAATGCTGTAGCAGTACAAAGTTTCCAAGAAGGTGCGAGGGACCTGTGAGGAGGACATTCTTCATGAATTGCTTAATGTAACCGCCAGCGCTCACCTTCAGTCCATCCATGGGTGACTTCATACGAGAAGCTGTTTGGAGGTGACATGAATTCAAGGTCTTCTCCAGTCAGACTGCGACTGGAGATGACTTCATATTTTGGTGTACATGAAGGTGGTAGGCGAGCGCTAGCTCCTAGAGGAACATCTTGGGTATCTTCCGCCTTGGTACTCGTATCCGCGTCCTCTGTCTAGGCAGCGGAAACTTTGCTGATATATGACTTGGTCGAAGTGACTTTTTTGGGCCCCCTATAGATCGATATCCATCCTTCCGTTGCCACGCCGTTGCCGAACGCTGGAAACGACTAGAGTACGCTAGCGTACGCTGCCGCAAAATATAAACGCAGCCTTATAGCTGAACAAATATGTACGCACTGAAAAATTAAAAACTTGCGTTTGCCAAGAACTTTCCTCGTTATTTCTCAAGAAAAAACACGTGCTTTGAGCCTCTCAACACGTAGTCTGAGCACCTTAAGCTTGCACGGGAAAAACCATCCGAAATTTGGCTACATCTGCCTACCCTTCCTAGACATCCAGGTGAAGATTCAGGGTGGCACGCTTTCTACGAAATGGTATAGTAAGCCTAGCATTAAGAACACTATCGTCCACTGTCAGTCCGCTCACCCTCTGCAGACCAAGCGAGCTGTCGTGAGGAACATGTTCCATACAGGTGCGGAAGTTTGTTTGGGAGAGAAAGAGCGAAAGGAGTCCTCAAGGCTGGCACGCGAAATTGCCGCCCTCAATGGCTACGAAGCCCCAGCGACCTTCCACAGAGCCAGAAATAGTGGCGCTAATAGCGGACGTGGTTGCGATTTGCTGGACGAAAAAGTCCCTTTTATTTTACCCTACGTCTCTGAGGAAGTCAGCACTTCCATCAGGAAGTGCTTGGGGAGGTCTGGCTTGGAAAACACAGTGGTCATAAATGTGTCACCCACATTTGAAACGTCGTCTGGTTAGGAATCGGCTATACGACCGTTTATGTACAACCTTTAATTGCATAGCATGCCCGACTGGCAGAGAGGGCGACTGTACCATCTGGGGGATAGTTTTTAAGATCACCTGTTGCAGCGCGCGGATGAGCACATCGGTGAAGCATCAAGGCCGATCAGCGTGAGGGTGAAGGAGCGCCTGGACAGCAGAAGTAGTTCACGTTTGTCGACTGCCTTAGGGGCACACAGGGATCAAGCCCACGACGGGGACGATTTTGGGGTCGAGGTCGGAGTTTTGGCGCGAGAATCGCAGTCATCGCACGCAAAACCCGGAGGCATTTTGGATCGAGGTCAGCAATCCAAAAATGAACCAGAGGGGAGAATGCGTCACAATAACGCGGGAGCTGAGACCTTATATGCATAAGGATGACCTTCCAAGAGTGACCCTGAATGAGGAGCAGTCCGAGGAGGTCCTGCTGCCGGCTCGCTGGTCTCGAAGATCGGACTGTGTTGCGGTGAGTGCTCCCTCTTACAATTAGGTGATGTCCTGTAATGTACTCAAACTTTAGCAGGGTAGTGGAAACGTCTGGTCGGGTAGTCATAAATTGCTTCGACCCTTTTCAGGCTCTGAAGGAGGCGATCCCGCTGAAACGTAGGCCAATAAAGGTCAATTAACAACCTCGTGTGGAGTTCAATCAGGATGTCTCACTGTCTTGTTGAAGGATTCGGATGCCTCCGGCCAGTTCTCCCTCAACAAACGGTTCCCTCTATATGACATTCGAACCATCAATACTTCACATCCTTTCCTGGGCATTCCGAGGAGCGCGTAGCAAAAAGAAGACTTTCACTTCAGTTCACTTTCATTCAATCCACACAACATGCAGCAAGCTACAGTGCGTAACAGTTGTATGTGGACACCCCACATTCTGATTTTACAAGATTACTTCGACTTTGGCGAAATGAGACCTTAACTATTCGAATCCTCGGGTACGGGACCTTACAAAGGAAGTCTTTCAGGTTGTGGCGCGCTTTTTGGTAACGGTTTGTTGCTTGTTGTAGGGGTCCATACAAGGATCACAGAATGGGTTTCATTTTTGCTATGCGTTTCTGCGGAGGTCAAAAACTGAATGAAAACAGTTTGACGAAAATGGGCGATTTTAACATCTTAATATACTCCGTTCTGACTGTAACTTCGAGCATGCATAGTTTGTGAGATGCTCGATAAATAGGCTTAATGGCTCAAAATAAAGTCAATGTGTAGGTGTCGTGTAGTAACACCCTTGGCATTTACCGACGCAACAGTGATGTTTTTGTGAGCGGTCCCCTCAAGCTCACTGTCGGCAGATAACTCGACGGATCGGATTTTGCCACAGTTTTAAGATTTCTTCATCAATGAAGAAGAATTTCAACGTAACCAGACGAGAACATTCCCGGAAGCAGGCTTCTCCACACAATCGAGCTCACCTGTAAGGTATCAGAATGAAGAATACGGCTTCAAATGGCATGCACTTGGCTTATTTTCACTGCTAGACACACAGAAAAACGAATGAAACAAATAGGAAGTTGACAAAATCAAAAAATTTGCTACGAGGAGGATCCAATCCACAAAGTCTCGTGATGTCGTTCCATCCAGTATCCATCGGGTAATTCGCTGCATCATCCGATCCGCCGAAGTGAGCATGAGGGGACCGCCAACAAAAACATCACTGTTGCGTCGGTGCATGCCAAGTGTGTTATACATGATACTTACATTCGACTTTATTTGAAACTATTTCCGAAGCTTAATTAACAGACATCTCAAAAACTATGCACGCTCGAAGTTTCAATCAGAACGGAGCCGATTTACCTAGCTAAAACCCCCACTCCTGTCGAATCTTTGTCACATAGTTTTTGACTTCCCGAGAAACTCATAGCAAAAATGAAACCCATTCTTGTGATCCTTGTATGAACCCCTACAACAAGCAACAAACCACTTCCTAAAAGCGCGCCACGACCTGAAATACCTCGCTTGTTAGACTACTTTACTTCTCAGCATCTTCTGGGCGACTTCACATCATATTATTACTGGGAAAAGCTCCTTCGTACCAAGGGTATATGGACACTTAAAAAAACAAAAATATCTTAGAGATGGAAGTCTGGTAGCTCTGATATGATTTTGTATTTGTTTAGTCATTTCATCTGCAGGCCCCTGAACGAGGTTTCTGGATGGATGTTTCGTGTATAGCATCGCGGGCAGCAAGTGTGCCACCTTGAGGTGGTGAACCGCATTGCACTGCCGGCTGTTGTGAAAGACACGCTGAGCCGTGATCTGCTGCCGTTTTCAAAATGATAACAGTCAATAGAACTATTGAGACTCCTTACTTGCCTAGAATAACGAATCGCCTGAGTGATCTCAAATAACTATGTGTGTTGGTGAAGAAAACGCCTCACAAATTTTGCTAGCCTCAAGAAATACCGTTTCGGCCGCTCTCCGTCAAATGATTGTGCTTCATAAACGAACGTGAAGAGTGTAAGTTGGATGCTACGTTTCCCTCAATGTCCTGCCACGCGTGAATAGGTAATATGAGGATATACCAGAACAAGATGATCACGGCACACACACCACTTTTATCCCTCAAACTTGGGTAATTAAACATTGCCCAAAAAGGAATAAAGTATAAACTAAAGGTAGCATAAAGTATAAAACTATGAGAGAGAGGCAGCTGTGCTGCCAAAGAGAAGGCACTGTCGCCTCCGAGCTTTCTCCGAGGCGGGACTGTATGCTTATAAGAAGAGAGGGAGAGAGAGAGAGAGAGAGAGAGAGAGAGAGTGTGTGTGGTGTGTGTATGGCTTCGCGAGAGGCTCGAACGCGACCGCATCACATAAAAGCTAACCATGCTTGCACAGAGCATGGGCATGCATTACCCTAAATGAAAGAGATTAATGCTAAACAGAAGAAACACAACACCTTACAACACATCACTAAGAAACTAGCTTAAAATCGCGAACTGTCGCTACTCCCCCCGACCCAGAGGGATCTTCTACAAAAGGGGAAGTGACTGTCATGAAAAACAACTGAAATAAAAAATCCGAGGTCTTCGCTCACTTGTTCTCCGCTCATATTTCGTCGCTCCTACTCCTGGCATGTGCGAGTCCATATATGTGATTGACTATATTTCCTACTGTACTAATCGATGTGTAGATTGACACTAACCTTTTTTGGCCTACGGGCCAGTCGAGTACACGATGGAGTGCATCACGAACGGACATCGGCGTGGTTCTGGCACTCGGGCCAGGTGTGTGCGATATCGTACAGCGCACCGTTAATAGTTGAGCATCAGTGTTTTTTCTGGCGCTCGGGCCAGGTATGCGCGATGTGTGCAGCGCATAGGTGATAGTTGAGCATCAGTGTGTTTTTGGCACTTGGCCAGGTGTGCCTGATGTTGTTTCATTTGCTTCATTCTTGTTCTGAGGAGTTCTAAGCGGAATTCGTATTCTTTAAGTTTCTGGCTGTGTTCTGCAATTTCTTTTGATATCCGCAGCTCTCTCCGGCTCCACACACAAGGCTGCGCAATGATCGGTTTCGCCACGGTGCCTACATGGTTTTCCTGCTCGTGGGCATTTGTTATGTAGTAGAGGCGGAAGGACACAGATTTCGCATGAATTTGCGTCTCTGACTGTTTTCCTTCTGGTGGCTACGTCGGGATGTACCGGGCAAGCGTCCGGATAATGCTTTCCTACGGCTAAACAGAACGTACAGAGTGGACTTTGTCGACTTCTCTGGTAGGAATCTCTGCCATGTATGGGGTTTGTTTCTTCTCAAGCTTGCCAAGTAGTTCTGGCGGGCCAATTTCGTTGTATCTTTCAGTTGCTGTTTAAGGCTCGCGGACTCATCTGCACGCGGATGTGGACTATCCTTTGCGTGTGATGCGGATGTGGATGTGGACTATCCTTTCGTTGCTGAATGTCAGTGTCTCGACTATGTTGAGCTTCAGCGTATTGACGTTTTGCGTATTCCGAAGTGGAAAAGGCACGTCGCCTGGGCTTTTTTCGAGCCGGGCTCATGCAAGCACGTTTCGGGGAATTGCCTACTACCACCACTATGTCAGAGTCTTCTTCGCCGCTGCCCTTCCTCGTGTCGTGTCGATGTCGATGTCCTCGATGTCCTCCCGCCACCCAGCACGGGACCAAGCGCCTGTCATGCGGGCTTCCACGGGGCCGTATCGTTTCCCCTCCCCCACGATACGAGGGCTACGACCAGGGAGCCTACTGACCTCTCCCAGAGCGCATTATCCACTTACGACGGCTACCATCCCACACAATACTTGCTGAGACCCGTACAGACTACCTAGAACCCACAGCGTTCTCTCGCACCCTTTGCCCTGGCGCTCCCATCATCCTTACTTGTGACTTCTAGACAAATATATAATGACTCACATTTATTGCGTCTCTTATCCTCACAAGATAATGTCCTACTCTTCTTCGTCCTGCTAGCTCACGGAGTCGACCATCCGTCTGACTAATAGGAAGACGTCTGCGGCAATGGCACTCTTTGTGCTGCCTCCGCAGCTCAAGCCGATCGCACCCTCGGGCCTTGCGAGTGCGAGCCGCAGCCAATGCTCCGCCCAGTGGGAGCATACCCGATCATGCTGCCAATCCAGGCACCATCGCGGCACCGGAGTGACGAGCCGCCTTTTATAGCGCCAACTGGGCGCGTGGCCGTGACGCGGCTTCCCATAGCGCGTATCGCGGCTTGCGGCTTTGGCGATAGAGCACCACAGAGCCCAGGCGCAGTGCCGCTCGGCGACCAGAGTCGCGATCCGTGACAATACCAGTGGGATCGCCCGCAGACGTTCCTGCTTCTGTAAGACGGCCCGCCATGGGGGGCGGTCGCAATTTCGATGATTCGTTGCCACTATTATATAGAGGTATTAGTTGCCACAAGAATGTTGACTCATGGGCAAATTCTAGACTCCAGGCGGAAATCGCACCCGCACGTGCCGCTTTCGGGCAGTGCGTCATCTGAAACGCCACCAGAAACGTCTCTCATCGTCTCAGCTAAATGTTTCTCATGCAAAAGTCTTGCAGCCATTGAGCTGGGAGGGAAGGGGGTGCTTTGGTGAAGTTCCGGTAACACACTTGGCCGGCAAGAGTGAGGTACATGTTCAAGTCCGCTTTGGGATCGGCTTTTCTGCTCACAACCCAACATTTTAGTTAAAACTTTCGGGGAGCGAACTGTGACGTTAAACAGCACCATTAATGATAGAACAACAAAAGCCTTGTAAAGTTTTCAGCCTCATGGCTCACTGCTGATGTCTTACGAAACGGCTTACCAGCTCACCAAGTTAAATGTGTGTGCTGTAAGGGTACAGCATAAAAGCCGTCAAACGAGAGGGTAAGAGCGGCCTTGGCGGCATAACGGATAGCGCACTCGCCCTGAAAGTGGGATTCAGGTTCGAGTTCCGTCTGGAGTAAAAAGTTGTGCTTATAGCTGAGCATTTATGGAACTAGAACGCGAAGTGTCGCTTTGAACAGTAGCTATCAGGACGAAAAAATTGAAAGAGTTGCTAGACTTGGAAAAAAGCCAATACGGAATTACTGGTGAAGAGGCGTTGCCCATGTACACAGACAGAGAGAAAAACATGGTCGATTATTTGCAGCTAATAGAGTAATCAGCTTATGTTGAGTGGTAAGATAAAGGCAGGCAGCTGTTGCACTTGCATATAAAACGAATAGCTGCATATGAAATAACAAAGTAAGAGCAGTTTTGGATGACAAATACGAAGCGATCATACAGAGTCATTAGTAGGGGGGGGTTAGGCAGTCTGTGCATTAGCGTAATATAGATTTCGGTGCACATGGGTGCATACTCAAGATCCTTCACCATAACTCCATACAAACGCACTGTGATTCTAGGAAAGTGAGCAGAATTTGGTCCTAGAGAATTGAGTGGGGTTTCCCTTCTGTTCCATATGGCACGATGAGTAGTAGTAGAGCTATCAGAGCTATCACTTTCATGTGCCATCTATGGAGCGTACAGGATGATATTCGCTGACATCTCGGCTAGTGATGCGGGATTTTTTTCTCTAAAAATTTCCTGAATACACAACAGTTCGAATCTGATCTATGCGATTTCAAGGTCGTCCATTCCCCTGGACATTGATCCTTTCTATATGTTCACTCCGAGCAAAAATTATAAAGAGGACGATGAGGACAGCGGATTCCGTTCGAGAGTCAACTCTGGTTTGTTTAACTAGATATAGGCTTCTGGAATATCGGTTCGACCGATGGAAGAATTTTCGACGAGTTCCTACTGTTCAGTTACGCAGTCCTGCTCACCTTTGTCATCTTCTGCATTGTCGACTGAAAGTGGTTCTCCACAAAGGAAAATAAGCGCGTCGGAAGCTTCAGACACCAGTAATGGGTTCACTTTTGGAGGTTAATTCAAGTTCGCTCTGAATTTTATCATTACTCATTATCTAAAACTGCACATGCAAATAATCGAAAACCTCTAAAATAATCCTAGAAGTGGCTCTTTTAGGGTATGGCACCGGGCCAACTTACGGTCAACAGTTGTTCCAAGCGGCTGAGTCTACAGAGAGTGGCTGTACTTCTTGTAGGATTCGTATTTACTAATTACGTATACATTTCATTTTCAATGCTTACGCAGTCACATGTTGAAATTCAGGAGTATGCTGGTCCTTTCGCCGTCCTCATTACTCTAACATCTGACATTTTGTCTGTACAAACAACAGCAGAAGATCTTCCACTCATCACTGAGGTTGACTGCTGTTCAAATATCTGGAGTTTCGAGGTATATGAAGTGCTAATTGACAAAAAGCGTGAGGTGATTTTGTGGAGAACCACTGGTTAGCGAGATGAAAGCTAGCGCACAATTTTTTGCAATATTTTCCTACTTCTACTGTGTGCTTTTTCCTGCTCGCTGTCTAGATCCTGAACATCATTATTTTGTCGATCGAAGACCTGACATACCGAAATGTTGCCAGAGAGATATACAAAGCTCAAGGATATGGTGTTGTGTGCAAGATAGCTGTTGATAAGTGGTTCGAACGCTTAAACGGGAGCGATTACGATATAGATTTGCCGAAGCCGAAGCAGTCTGGACAACTATCGGAGTCGAAGAATTGCGAACTGCTTACAACATCGCACCTTGAGTCAGGTCGTCACCCCCTCACCATTCGTTAGAATCTAATCTTATCGAACTGTGTTGAATATTCTGCTTCAGTTGGACGAAGAGTTGTTCCCAAAAGGACATGCAAGGATTGAAGGACCGAAGCGCAGGCCAGTATAAGAGTTGAGATCCGTTGCCAACTGCTATTTAATCCGTTGAAGGTTTACTTTCAAAAGCACACGATGACCTCGCACTGAAACCTACCAGGGAGGTCGTTAAAACTATCGAGCACCCTTTGAAAACGGTTTTCCGCACAAGACACATCATTGGTTGGAGATTTTAGTCAAGTCCATACCATCCCCTCCGTCCCTCTGTCCCTCCTCACCGTCGAGCGGGGGGGGGGAGGGTAAACAGCACATGTGAAACAGGAAAAGCCGCGAGACAATACGGCCCCTCCCTTCTACCATTTCTCAGATTTTCCCCCATCTTCCTGCCACTTTTTCCAAAATTTCCCAAGAACTTCCCTACTTTCCCAAAAATTTTGCTGTCGAGCGGGGAGGGGTTGTATAGCGTCGTCGGTGACTCTAGCCCCAAACTCAAACTTGGGTAATTAAATGTTTATCTGAAAGCACCGAATAAGAAATAACTAAACTATGAAGCTCGGCTCACAAGTGCTCCTTTTATGCAGGTCAAGTGGGCGGAGCATGCTGGTATTTGCAAGAGATATAAACATGATAAGCGAATGTTGTGCGAGAAACCTTTACAGTTGCTCAGATCAGCCTACTGATAACGATATTGAAGCTTACAAGACTATTCGTACAATGGAACGAGTAAATGATAATGTTCATAAAGGTTACAATAATGATAATGTAACAACAGTGAATAGAGCGAGAGTCTCTATATATAGTACGCATGAAACAGGAAAATCATGAAAAGTCACCCACCACTCCCACCACTTCTAGAAAGGCCGGAAAGTAAATACGACCAGCATCTCCCAACAATGAGCAAGTACGACCCCCCCCCCTTTACAACGTCCGTGGAGCTAGAAAAATCAACTATCACAATAAATTTTTCACAGCTCAAATACGCTCCCCCCTCTCCTGGCGGCCGGATACGACCCCCCTCCCTGGCGGGGATTCCCCAGCAACGATGTGGCCTGTTTCCGCATCAGGTGGGGCACTTGCAAGTGCAGTCAAATCGAGATTCATTTTTTTCTGGACACTTCTGGAAATGTCCGAAGTGGGTTGTTGCTTCGGATCCCCACAACAGCAAAATTTTGCTTTTCTGCAATTTTCTATTCTTGGATTCTTATTTAAGTGAGTCTCTTTTCCTGACGGAGGCATGCACAAAAAACTTAAGAGTTCTTCAAAAATTCTTCTCCTCAATTTGTCAAAGCTCGCACGATCGGGCTATTCAACGCTCGCGAGAATGGCGTCGACACCAAAAGCAAGTCTCAAAATCATGGTCAGGACTAGCGATTACATCTACACACGACCTTTGTTCAATTTTTCGAGTTCTAGCAAACCTTTGGTCGGCCATGGTGGACAGAGTATTCCATCTTTAAATTTCCTTTTTTTAATTTAATTTACCGTCATTTGCCAATCAAATGAATCGCTATTGTCAGTATATCATCGAATAGGGAAGTTATTCAACGAAGCCGAATCCGACTTCAATAGTGGGGAACTGGTGGGAACAAGCACCAAGCTCAAGAAAGTCAAAAAATTTCTAATCAAAAGTTCGTTTCCAGGTAAATCAATGGTCCTGATCACGATTCTGACACTTTTTGGCGTCGAAGCAGTAAGGCGCTAGAATAGCGCTTAGAGTAGCTATTAGAATAGCCTAGTAGCTAGTGGGATAGCTAGTAGAATAACCCCATGTGAGAGTACGATAATGCATTCGGCGGGAGATAGATGTGGCTCCAAATTGGCGATGAACTGCACCGTATTCAGAAGTAAGTGTCGTGATCAAAGCTATGATCAACCCTTATAAACCAAGTTTCAGCCGTAATTTCCTTAATGATATTTAAGGTTATATTATGTGAAACAAACTGACTCATGGGGTATTACTGTCTGTAGGTCTAGAATATGTCCGTTAATGGCATTTTCCCAGTTAGATCAATACACATGCATATACATATGGCTTCAAGAAAGCCAAAAGTGAATGTTGCGATGAATTAGAGCGCAAGGAGGCTCGAGAACAATAAGTTCCCACAAGTTTCCACTCTTTTATTGGTGTTCTCAAAGGCGTTCGAATTCACCCTGTCTTATATTCCGTTCATGTGCTCGTACCACATGCCTAAAAGCGTTTTTGAAAAGCGCTCCATACGACCTCCTAAGTAAGTCCACCAATCAGATTGTCAATCGCGATCAGGCAAAGACATGGGCTCAGCAGTGCCATTTGCATACGTCTCACGTCAGCATCAATCAAGCGAGCTGATCATGGTTTACTTCTAACGGAACTGTGAAGAATACTTCTAACTTGCTTTTAAATTGTTCAGAATGTTCAACATAGAAATACTGTGATCTACTGTTGGTTGCAGTACCGCGTTTACGAGAAGGAGAAGAAACACCCGTTTGCAATATGGCGAAACGCGATTTTCAGCAAGATAACGCTAAGCCCTACTCAACCAAGAAACCAAAAGAACTTGTGGAAACGAGAAAATCATCACCTGTATCACCTGTATCACCTGTGCTCCCGTTGACCATCGAGTTCCTCTAGCGTCAACGGGAGCACAGCAACGTCTCCATTCGTCCCTGCAGCGTGCAAGAGTTGCACAATGGACTCTCTCTGCTCGAGGGACACGATGAACTTCATACCATTCGTTCAGAGCTTTCACAAAGAAGTCTGGCCATCGCATAGGCGGTCGTCCAGGCGTTCGCTTGACATCCCGTGGAATCTAGTAGGTGATCGCTCTGGTCCAGCGGTCGTCCTCGAAACGCATGACGTGCCCGGCCCACCTGATCTTCGAAACCTTGGCAAATGCGGCGGCGTCTCTGATCTTCGATCGTCGGCTTAGTGCGGAGCTTCGGATTCCCTTTCTCAATTACGTATAGCGGGAAACTCCGAGCATCGCCCATTTAATGGCGCGTTGAATAACGCCAACCGCATGTTCATCCTGCTTTCGTAGAGTCCAAGTCTCTGAGGCGTACGTCAAGGCAGGAAAGACCGCGGAATCGAAGTGGTGGGCAGCTGGACTTGGCTGTATTTCGGTCTTATCGCTAGCTCGTCGTGGTTCTTGAAGCTCCCAGGCCGGCTCGCTTACTCCTGCTCAGCTCTGGTGCTGAGTCGTTCATTCATATTGATATTCACAACCCAGGTCACATAGCTGGAGCATTCAGAGATAGTCGTTCCGTGAGCGTGAATGGGGCATCAGATACCAATCCGTTTCTCATGAACATCGTCTTCGTTAGGGGACGTTCAGCCGTGAGTTTTTCCACACGCGCAGCTCGAAATCAGCCAGCATTTCGTTTCGCTTGCTGGGATGTTTTGCTATCAATGCTATATGTTATCAAATGATGTCTGTCAGCAAAGCGGAGATGGTGTAGTTGTAGCATTCAGTTGGCATGATGTTCTCGAGAGAGGCGCTGAAGAGCTTGGGCGAGATGGTGTCGCCCTGTCGGACTCTTCTCTTACATCGATGATGATCTCTTGTAGAATGGTGGAGATCTTGCGTCGTGAAGTTGCTGTAGAGCTCACGAAGAATCTCGATCTACTGAGTAGGAATAACCTGGCTGCCAAGCGATTCGATAAACGCTTTGTCTCAACAAAGTCGAAGACTTTCTTTCAAGTCGATAAATGTGAGACATAACGGCATCTTGTACTCTCGCGACAATTCAATAAGCTTCGTAACGTGTGGGGTGTGATCAATCGTGGTGAATCCTCTCCGAAACCCTGTTGCTCATGGCTGTCCTTCGTCTAGTTTTCTGCGAATCCTGTTTTAGGATGAATCGTGTGAAAAGTTTGTAGACTGCCAGACAGCAGGCGATGGGCGATAATTGCCGAGCAGATGGGCGATAATTTGTCCAACTTGTCGTCAGGTCTCCCTTCTTGTTACAGCAAACACAGTCTTCTGGTTTTCCTACGGGTGGGTACCTGCATTCCGACTAGGGTAGCAGCGTGAGAGTCGAGCAGAGTTTTGACGCAGAACTGGCGCAAGCGACTTCCGCTTGCAGAGATGTTCGGGTATGAATCCTATCGGGACCCGGGCTGCCGTACGATTCTCACCAGACTGAGATGGCATGATCGACTTGTCAGGGAGAGGGAGGAGAATGACGCGGAAGAGCGACGGTATACTTTTCTTGCTCACAAGCGATATAGTGGCAGATGACGTGGAGGGTAGAGTCGTGAGTACCCTTTTCATTGCACTTAATGGATGCGGTGATTGTTCGCAGATCCGGAACTGTCTGAGGGCCGGTCCATTTTGGTTCTTGCATGTTTAGCCGAAGTCGCCGGCGCGGTATTGCGAGGCATCTTCCGCTTCTGCGGCTTCAACAGTACTGTGGGTAAGGCTCTTCGTCTCCTTGAGGTCTATACCTTATGAGCTTGTCTGGTCGATAGCGTTGCGTCAGACGCCAGCTGGTAATTGCCTGCGGACTCGGTTGCGCTCCACGCTGGTCGAATAGCCCGAGAGCTGTCCGAGATAGACGCTTTTTGGTGTTAATCTTGGACTCTCTGACTTTTGTCGAGCGAGCAGGTCAGAGGGTGATGCGACAGATGGGAAAGAACGGAACCGGATGGGTAATTCACTCGTCGAGATAGTTGTCGATGATTGGAATGCTCCAGAGCAGCAAAGACAGTGAAGTGACCAGTTGATGACGGTCTTGGGCTTTGCTTTTGAACTTTGCGAACTCTCTTCTCCGACGAAAAGCGGAATCTCGCGCGGAAGGAGTATGGTGTCGATCCCCTGTATAGAACTTGGAACAACGGTGGCATCGTCAGGCAAAACTTCGATTGAAGATGATGTGTCGATCTCGTTATGGAACTTGGGCTATAGGAGATCCATGTCTACGTAGAGAGTAAGGCTTCTGGAACTCGCGAGTTACCATGGTGGTGTGGGTACGATTATGATAGATCT